AATTAGTTTGGAAGATCTTGATTAGATTGTTTCCATGCAATTTGAATTTGCTGAATTCGAAAGAAACAAGGTTTGGAGACTTGTTCCAAAACCTGATGATGTCTCAGTTATAGGCTTAAAATGGATTTTTAAAAATAAAACTGATAAAAGAGGTAATGTGGTTCGAAACAAAGAAAGGTTGGTTGTTAAGGGATATTCGCAACAAGAAGGTATTGACTATGATGAAACCTTTTCCCCAGTCGCAAGACTCGAGGTTGTTCGAATATTTCTTGCTTATACAGCACACAAAGACTTCGATGTTTATCAGATGGATGTCAAGTGCGCTTTTCTCAATGGAGCAAGAAGATCAGATGCAACAAAGGTACCCGCATCTTTTTCCCTAGTCCATGATGTATTCACTATAGAAACAATTCTGCGACAAAATTCCCTCTAACGGGGGGATAATGTAACAACCCATTATTTTTCAAGTCAATAAAAGTCAAACCTTTAAATAAAATTCGAGTTTTGTTGATTTGGTTAAGAAGATAAGGGTTAAATATGATTTAATTTATATAAATGATGTATTTATATAAGTATTTGGAATAAAATACACTTAAAAATCAACATTTTTCCCTTTGGAACCGAGAACCCTCGGACCGAAATCTCCTTTTCGGCCGAAAACCCACTCGATATATATATTTTTCCCTGAAAAATAAGTTATTTCTCACCTTTTTTCAATCGAAAACACTCCTATTTTCTCTCAAGTATCATACAAGAACCTTCATATCTACAAGAAAAATTCTTCAAATCTTCATAACTTTCACCAAGAACACCAAGAACAATCTTCAAATCTTCAAGCTGACTGAAAACCCACTTGGACCGAGAACTCGTTCCTAACCGAGAACACCTTAAGACCGAGAACATGGTTCTCGGTTGAGGTTTTAAGACCGAAATCAAGGGGATTTCGGTGAAGTCTAGACCGAAAACCCTTATCAACACTTCAAACAAATCTCGGTAATTTTTATAAGAAATTCCATACATAAATTAAGTGTTGTATAACACTTTAATTAATTATTTCGCTAATTTAAATACGATTACGTGTTTAAATAATATTAGGATACCGTTATTTCCACGTACGCTAGCCCGAGGATTATCTCTACAACTCCGCTATCCAGACTCGAACACACACTAGAGGTAAGTTCATACCCCTACGTTTTGACTATTTTCAATGCTTTTAGGGGGAATACAAGTTAAACACAAGGACTCTTGTGTTAACATTCAAACGATTTCAAAACATTTCAAACCATTTGCAATTATTTCAAAATGATTTATCCTTGCATTTATCAAGATATATTTATATATATTCTTTAACCCTTTTGTAGTGTGCCGAGCAAAATGGTATTTTTCATAAATCTCTTACTACCTCTTTATACACACTATTAAATTGCAAATGCTTCAGTTCATTACAGGGCATACATTTAAACTATAGTTGGTATAGTTTGTAAATCGCTACACTATTTTGCTAAGTTCAATGAATGATACAAGAACATACATTTAAACTATAATAGGTATAGTTTGGGAAACACGATGCTATTTTACAAGCTCAAGAACACTATACAAAAACAAGTATATAAACTATAATAGGTATAGTTTATGGAACACTACTCTATTTCACTAATTCAAGGATACACTACTAAATAATTATTTAAGTATAATTATTTTGCATTACAAAGTACACTACTGCAAGGTAATATATACAGTTTCAAGTACAATAGAACACTACTACACTACACGTAAACTAGTTAATACAGGGTTGTGAGGCACTACTTCGGGGTACCCATCATGGTACCGGTTCAAGTCCTATAAATTATAACCAGAGTCTCCTGGAGGGAGAGCATGAATTTGTCTATAGATCTATACGGGATTGACAATCCCGCACCTGAGCTGCTTGCAACAGCTAGGCCGGCAAGCCTGGGGTGACAAATGTCATAACATTCCGATGCCTGAAGAACGTCGTAGAGGCCACTAGGTCATATCAAGCATGGTTATATGAAACTCAAAATAGTATCAACTAAAATATTTGTTTATGGGATTAACACTACTTCAATGGTTTTATTTTAATTAATAAAACTACAGTACATTACTACACTACAACTGGTGGATTCCAGGCATTCATACAAAAGGTTTTATTTTAAATAATGAAACTACAGTACACTATTTTACACTACAGCTAGTGGATTCCAGGCACTCATACAACAAGGTTTTCATACAAACACTACTACAGTACACTACGTTTCTAGTACAGAGTACACTAGTACAACATACAATTTCAAGAAACATTCATGACATAGTTTTATTCATTAATAAGACTACAGTTCACTATTTCATAATACAGTAACTACATACATTTTGGTGTTAAGGCCTAAGACTACATTTCATTCACTAAGAAAATATTGGATTTTCTGGAAGTACACTATAACATTTTCAAATAACAAAGACAAGCTTTCCATTTCTAATACATACTTATGAACTCACCTACTTAAATGTTGATACACTTTCAAAACCACTAGTATTTCGCAGGGAACCGGTAGACAAGTACACCCACATGTTTTGAGAAGACGGAGCTTATAGAGTGCGTCTTTTATACTTTTGTTATACACTTTTGATGTCATACAAACTATGTATTGAACCGATGTAAATACTATATTTTATCAATGTAATGGTTGTGTTTGCTTTGATTACTATTATGCAATTATTATGATACTGTACATGACGTCCTCCGCCCCCGAACATTTCCGCCATTCCGGTTTGGGGGTGTGACAAACATCAACTTAGGAGATCTCATTATGATACAGAAAAAAAAAGTATGCCAAAACTTCAGATCAAGACGGTAGATCAATAAATTCTTTTCAAAAAAATCCTAAAATATGTCTGACCTCCCTAAATTGAAAACAGTTAACACATATTGGTTTACATTGAGGTTGAGGTAACATTTAACACTCTAACTGTTTTATAGTTAATGGATTATATTGGGCTTAAAGCAACAATTAACACTTTAACAGTTAACACATTAAGCAATCGTTTAACACATTTATCATTGATGGATTAACACTTTTAACACATTTCAAGAACCATATGAACTTGATTTTGAATCTTGGTCGTGTGAAAATTTTTGAAGAGAGTAAAAGAGGAGATACCAGGTGACAAAGTGAAATTACCTATGTGGGAAGTGGGATTAGAAAGATAACTATAGATCTACACTAAAGCTTGGGATTTGTTGAGACTTTAGTGCTAACAAGTAGAGGTTGCTTCTTTCAATGTTCGTATAAACTACAGAGCAATGGAGATTGGAGACTAGGGTACTCAGGTTAGGACAAAAGTGAAATCAGAGAGTTGATCACTTCATTGGAACTCAATCGATATTTTTGGAATGACATCGGAGACTAGAGAGTCGAAGAAAAGAGCATCAGAGAAGTGTGAAGTATGGATTGAGTTTTTAGGATTCAATTTTATGTCTACTAGTCAAAGTCAATTAGACAAGTAGTTCAAGAGCGCAATCGTATCTCTCACTACTTTACAATCCATGATACGAGTTTACGATCCCACCGAAAAATGTGTTCTGTAGATTCGGTATCGATATGCGATCGTGGGGTCGTAGAATCATAAGATCCTATGATTAAACTCGTGATTTTGATAACGTTGTTAAAAATATGTATTTATATGTCTCAGTCAACATGTTCTCACGATACGGCTCAAATTAATGTTGTATATTTTCATAATGTTTCCATGTTATCATGTTGAATCATTCTAGTACCACAATACTATAACCGTTATAATATTTTGTAATATTATATATGTACGAAGGATTTTGTAATCAAACTCTTGTAAAAGGTGACTATTTACCTCAACTTACTAACTTTGAAATAAAATTGTCTTCCAACCATCACTTGATGACAAGGTTCTAAATAACGTAAGGCTTGACTGTGGTGGCAATGTTAAGTCTTAAACTTTTACGAACCTTAACGAGCCACGCCGTTTGTAAGGTCTGAATTAAGGTGACAATTTTATATATATTTAATATTTTTATATGTATTTCAACTATTATTTATTTTTACATACATATATGACTTAATGTGACATTTTGTTATTGACGACAAATACAAGCCTTGAAATTACGACGAGCTTTATAGAACGTTGTTTTATGTTATACAAATGATGTTTATGATTCCTTAGGAAATCTATAATAATACTTAAAACATCCACTTACGTGTTTTTTTCGAAATCTAAAAACAATTAAAACATTAAAGCTATATTTTAGAATAGGCGATGTACAAAGAAAATATGATATTTTTTTTCCGAAAGCATAAACTTATCAATAAATGGTTAGGCAAATAACATTATTAATTATATACAAATATCACATATTAATAAAATATATATTTGTTTATTGCATATAGAAATATACATAAACTTATTAGATTAATTTGCATTGGATGTCTATATACAACTCCGAATACTAATATTAGAGCTTCGAGTTCGCCGGTATATCAAATTATGCAAAGAAATGATGTGGAACTTCGAGGATCAACCAAGAATTCGTCTTAGGGATGCCATACTGAAGTTGTACGTAATGCAACTGAAGATGTATTTTCTGAGATGATTCAACATTTACAACATTTTTGCTACCATATATAGAGTCAACGTTTGTGAACTCACTTTTGAGCACACATACACACAGACAGAGAGTGAAAGTTATTCTGCCTTATTGGTATTTACTATTTACATAATAAATTAAAGGTATCACTGAATGCACAAAACATACGCAAAACAAGCACAGAGAGATTTAACCCTTGATGAAAAAACGAAAAGGGCCAAAGTGAAAACAGTAAATATAAAAAGAGAAGAGAGCTCAAGAGATAACACACTCGGAGACTAATAATTCCACCATAAAGATTCAAAGGCAGTAGAAATAACGTTTGCTTGACCAGAAACATACCCATCTTCTTGATTGCCGCCGTTGTTCATCCATGGCGGTGGGTACAACCACCCGTCCACCACCGACTCATTGTATCGAAATCATTCTTTAACTCAAGCGAGTCAAAACTTGATCCCAGAACCGGCAACTCAATTATCTCATCGAGTTCCTCCGATGCAGTTTCTATAGAAGAAGGTGGAAAGTCAAGCTCTGTCATGGCTGCTGCTTTAGCCGCAGCAGCTTGCACATCTCTCGGAGAACAAGAAACAGGTCGTGGCAAAGATCCCACGAGTTCCGGGAAATTAAGAATGGCGGAGCTGCCTTTGATGCTAAGTGCCGCTACATCGTGTGCCCGAGCTGCCATTTCTGGTGTAGGGAAAGTTCCGAGCCATATGCGTGATTTCTTCCTGGGCTCACGGATTTCAGACACCCATTTGCCCCAACTTCGCATCCGAACGCCACGGTACACTGGGTGCTTGTTGCTGGAATCGCGACTCCTCTTGACGGTTTTGGTTTCAGGGTTTTGCAATTTGGGTAGCGGCTGAGTTGATCCAGGTGAAGAAGGGACTGAATTGCAAGAATTTGAGCTGCAATCATCATGTTCAGAAGTGGAGTTCTGTATACTCATTTTAGCACAAACCGATGATTGATTCTTCATTAGGGCATACGTAAAGGTTGAAAGAGAAGCCGTCATGGTACCAATCACTAGTATGTGATTGTTTCCTTTTTATGAATTTTGTTTGAAAGCATAATGAAGAAAGATGTAAAGTTATGATCTTTCTGGGATTGAAAGATTGAGTTTTGTGCGCATTTGTATTGAGTTAAGACCGTAGGATCAAACAGCGACTTTCACCCTCATTTCCCAATGAGTGATACAAATACTTATAAACAAGATCTAAGGAGGTAGGGGGATAGGGGGTATGGGGTAGGCGTAGGTGGTAGGGGGTGGGGCACAGAGAGAAAATGGTTGCTGCCCTAAAGAGGTAAGCTTTTGTACGATTGGGTCCTTCACAAAGACAAAAACTAGTACCGCATAAACTTGCTCTTTCAAGAAATTTCACTTTTGTTTTTCCAGGCTACTGTTAGTAACTGTAACCTTAGAGATTTACTTGACACTGTTTATTTTCCCATCCTTTTGTCTTTCATGTTTTCCACCGGCATGCACAAGATATATATTTTATTCAGGTATAATTCACACCCTCACTTGAAATATAATAATTTTATTTAGAATGTAATTAAACAAAATTATCTATTAACTAGTAAAATCTGAATTAACTTTTCATAGTTCTAACATAAGAAATAGACAGAAAGGAAAATAGTTGGCGTTTACTGTGTTAAAGTTTTCATTGTGAGGTAAAGTTATTTCATATTTAATTATCTGATGATAGATGAATAGTATAAAATGTTGGACATTTACTATTTACCATATTTTCAAGACAATATTATATAAAAGGTCTCTCTAGTTGAAAGAAAATAGCAGTATGAGTCTTTAAGAAAGTTTTTGAACACGGTTGGGTAATGTTGGAACGTAGGCTCTTTTCTTTCTCACCCCGTTATATTTTGGCCGATGTCCTTTAACATGTGCGGCCATGTGATGCCAAAATTGTCTATTCTTTTAATCTACTGCCTAAAGCTAATTAAAGAAGATATTTGCAAATCTAATCCTTTTGTGTATGTTCACATCGGGCGTCCCAAGCAACCTAGCTACTTCATTTTCTTCATCTGTCAAAACTCAATTACGAACATAAACTTGAGAAAATCTTGTGCTTCATTTGATCATTGTTACTTTTGCAATAGTTTCAAATGTGTAGAATGTGCAAGACTCAGTTGAAAATAAAATACGATGAGTTAATGGTGCTAATGGAAACTAAAGCTTCACATGTGGATTGCTTATTTATCGGAGCTAATGGAAAAACCACCTAATAAACCCACATGTTTAACCATGGCGCTGATAAGACCAAAAATCTTCTACCAGGATTCAATTTGGTCCAAAATATAACCATATTTGTTGGGCTGCCACAAGAGCAAATTAGTATTGAGATTTGCAGTTTAACCGTATGAGGTTTGAAGAAGAATAACACTACTACAAAAATGAGCATTACGAACCGCCAAAACCGTCGGTAATCCGTCACTAATATTCTTTACCGACGGAATTATAACAGACCAAAATCCATTGGTATATTCTTGTCGCTATTGTTTGTAACTGATTTCTAAATTCTGGCGACGGATTTTTCCGTCGGTAAAAACTAACGGATCACCGACGGAAATATTTTTTGCAACGGAATACTGACGGAATGTGGTTGCAGATTGCCGACAAAATGACTCAGTAACGGATCAACAACAGAATCTGGAATATCTTAATAACGGATTAATTACCGACGAAATCTCGGAATAACTCACTATCATATTACCGACAAATTTTTTGTGACAGATTAGCAACAGATTTTGGCATTATAAAAAAATTATAAATTCATGAAAAAATTAAAAATAATTACATATTCAACAAAGAGAAATCTTAAAACATTCATCAAATTTATATTTTAACACCAACAAATATAAAAGTGAGTTTCCATATTCGACATACATTAAATCCATATTCGACATTTAATGCATAATACTAGAAAATAGTAGCAATCTACTTTTTAAAAAGGTATCAAAAGTTTCATGTATAATTCTCATGATGTCAACAACCAATGTAGAGTATCCTTTTTGATTAGCTCGTGGATTCCACACCGGTCATTGAGAGATTGTTAGCTAGAAATATATTTATATATCGTCAAATACCACAAATGCCCTCCAATGTTGACATTAAAGGAGAATAAAAATTATAAATGAATGATATTAACAAGTAGCAATTATGATAATGCGTAAAAAATGTGATTTGAAGTATAATATTCCTTCACATGAAGTTTGAATAAAAAAGATTTAATGATGAGAAATAGCAATGTACTTTTTCTGAAATTCCTCATTGTAGCTACATACTTTCAAATAATAATGATTTATATCAAACCATTTTCGATTTTTTTCATGATTATACAACATACTGTAAGTTTTTACTCATAATAGAAATGTACTTTTGCCATAATTCCCAATTACAACTTATATAAAAGTAGATTGCTACTTCATAATGTATGACGCCATAACCGAGAACTTTGGTAAAGTAAGTTTCTATTTCTCACAACTAACCCTTAAAAATATCAAATGATGTCAATATTATGGGATAAAGATGCATAATAGGATGGTTTACCATATAATAAAATTATTTCAATATTTTCGAAAGGACCGTTGCAAGAGGGAATTCTGCATTATCAACATTTCATGTAACCACCTACAAGAAAATAATTTAACAAATAATAATAACTTCAAAATAATGAATAATTATAATACCTATTTGGAAAATGGAAATAATGAAAGATGACACACCAAAACAGCAAGATATTCAGCAGCTCCAAGAACAATGTAACGATTGGATTGTGCTTCAATACGATGAGTTAATGGTACTAATGGAAGCTAAAGCTTCACATGTGGATTGCTTACTTATTGGAGCTAATAGAAAAACCACCTAATAAACCCATGGCGCCGATAAGACCAAAATCTTCTACCAGGATTCAATTTGGTCCAAAATATAACCATATTTGTTGGGCTACCACAAGAGCAAATTAGTATTTAGATTTGGTGTCTAACCGAATGAGGTTTGAAGAAGAATAATTAGAAGGGGAAGAAAGTAGAAGCTAACTAAATTATTTAATTTTATGTCTTTAACAATGATCAAAGGATCTTTCGCCTAAAGGTAATGAATGACTATCTCAAATAAAAGTTAGGAGTTCAAGTCTCACTATGAGATATAGATGGTTTTTAGGATTATATTATGAATAGCATACTTGTGGTTTTAAAAATAAAAAAAAAAAATGTATGTATTAATGCCTGCAAGTGAACGTTGGTATATATAAAAAGGCCTTACATGAAAGTATAATTTTGCTCTCACATGGGGGTACGCATTAAGGGATAATGACCATAATTGACAAATGTGAGAGAAAAGGACATGCAAAGTACATGCGTTAATATCTCAAAGAATGGCCATGTTTAAAATTCTTGTTCATAAGAAGTTGTAGAGATATTTTGTGTCAACCATAAGGACATTTTATGTGATTTTGTCTATTTTTAACTAAAAATTTATATTTTGTAAAAATAATTTTAGATATATAAAATCAACAATATTTTTAGACAAAATTATACAAATGGCCCATATGGTCATAAAAATACCATTACAAGTCCCTATGAAGAACTTAGAACATGGCTTGGTCCTTGAAAGTTTCAAATATTGCACCGAAAGTCCTTGACAAACATCGTTAGCTAACAATGATTAAATTGTTTTAAAATGACTAATATAAGCCTTACTTTTATTTTATTTTTTTATTTTAATATTTATATAAATAAAGCCATAATCTCTCTCTCTCTCTCTCTCTCTCTCTCTCTCTCTCTCTCTCTCTCTCTCTCTCTCTCCCCTAATTTTTTTTTTGAAACGGCAAATATATTAAATTACATTTAAATTATTCCACCTATGTCCATTGCGGGACTTGAACTCTCAACCTCAAGAAAGGATGGCAACACCGGATACCGTTAGGTTAGAAACCCTTAGGTCTCTCTCCCTCTCTCCTAATTGATTAGAACCAACAGCTATCTTCGTCTTCAATATACATTTAAATCACCACCATCCACCACTTCCTTTCCACGAACACCACATACAACTACCATTATCACCATCTTCCACCACCATCACCGAATACCACAACTATAAAAGAACTAGAAATCTAAATCAATTTTGTTTCTTGTTTTAGCTTCTTTTTGTCATTTTGGTGAGTGTATTCATCGAAAAACAAAAGATAATATACATACAACAACATCTGATGAAACTCTGGCCTCCCCTTACTGAAGCTGCAATGCTCGACTCCTTGCTTTTGGGACTTCCGTGCTACCCTCACTACCGTTAGTGATTCTCAAAGTAACTAGAGCAGGTGCACTTACTGCTCCACCTATCAACCCAGGACAGTCGGCCTTCTTGTAGCCCACCTGGTTGTAGTGAAAATGCATCGGAACCGATCTACAGGGGCAATCCCTACTGAAATGACCCATCTGACCACAACTAAAACATCTCCGACCTGCCTCCCGATAGCCTCCCGCATGAGTCCTCCCACACTTCGCACAACGGCCCCGAACCTCACGGCCTGCCAAACGTGAATCCTGAGTCTTGGTCCTCTTCACTTGGCCCACTGCAATTTAAATCTGCCCTGGCTTCCTCTTCCCGAGGTGATCCAAATCAATATCCCGCTCTCGAGCTCTAACAATCATATCCTCCAAAGTCTGACAAGCTGAAAAGCTCATAAACTCCCTAATATCGTCTCGCAACATATCATGGTACCTTGTCTTCTTCATTTACTCATTTGCGGCATACTATGGAACTAAAAGAGCCCTCTCCCTAAACTTGGCGGTGTTCTCCGCCACCGTCTCAATCATCTGGCGAGGGTCCTGAAACTCCCTCGCCAACTGCTTCACCTCAATAGTTGGTGCAAACTCCGCACTAAACTGGGTTACAAACTCATCCCAAGTCATCGCCTCAATGGCTTCGCCTCCTAAAGCGAAATCTACCTCCTCCCACCAATCATGAGCTCTTTCTTTCAGAAGATAAGAAGCAAA